GAATTGTTTGTGGAAGAATTGTTTGAAAGCAGGAACCGAGAGGAAAACTAGGGCCTAACAGAAGTTTTGGCATTACAAAAGCTTGCTTGGGGTGATGCACAGTTGCCACTTCCAGGATGGCTGGTGTGAACGGACTCGGCTCCTCCACAGTTCCCTAGGCAACACAATCTGCCCTCCTCGCAGCTGCAAAGGGGAGTAACGGAGGATGGAGCGGAGTGAAGACACCACGGCCAAACTCTGTTGCACTCCCTGTGCTGGGCTGCTGATAAGCCGCACAGTGGCTGTCTAATGAGAGATATACGATAACAAGTCCGGTGCTGAGCCAGCAAAGGTGGCAAATGATGAACTTTGCTTGAACTTTGCTCATTATAATGTGAAAACCATACCTCCATCCCAAAAGTTACCCGCCTCCGAGGTACGACCACCCCTCACTGAGCATGCGCTCTAGATTTTCGGTTGACTGTACCTTTAAATGAAAGCGAGAAACTTTTCCACCAATCAACAACAAGGTTAAGTATGACTTTAGTCACTCAAGCTCCACCTGAATGTAAAGAAAAGTACAAAAGGTGAACTTGAGGGAAAAAGAGAAGTAAGAAATCATCATAACTCTTGGGTCAGTTGATGGGCCGGTCCCCCTTCCTCCCCTTGTACTGGCACACCGCCTGAGGAGACTCGAGACTGAGAGCCCTCTCCCATCTTCTGGGGTGAGTGATGATTGCACATTTGTACATCAGAGCTAGCTAAAAAAGGAGACTCGAGACTGAGAGCCCTCTCCCATCTTCTGGGGTGAGTGATGATTGCACATTTGTACATCAGAGCTAGCAAAAAACCCCACGCTGTAGTAGAGAATTTCCTGTACTGACATCCGAAACCTGCTTTGTAAATGTTGCATTTGAATAAATCATACTGTTTGTGAACTCGACTACTTGTTTGGGGGGAGGCGATCAGACCTACAGTTGACGGACTGTTCGTGAATCCGATACTGCCAGAGTCGAGCTTATAGGTGATTATGCTATTTGGGAACTCGATTCGCTCCTAGGAAGGCGATCGGACCTACGGTCCACAGACTGTTTGTGAATCTGATATTGATTTGATATCTCCTTTCCCCCCTACCACCACTACTACCACTACGGCTTTCAAACTGCAACATTTCACAGGGTTAAAAAACACAAAGTTTTTAAAAATGATAATTTCCAGAAACATATTAAATAGCTAAAATGTAATTCATTTTTTTTCTTTTTCTGTGATTTTATTTTATTTTTTGCTCCGAAGTGCCCCGCTTGTTTGGAAGGTGCTCATGAGAAGCCAGCAAGGCTGCAAAGCCCAGGCTGCAGATGCCCTCCCAGCACTCGCGTCGCTTCCTGGCCGGGCCCCTAGCCCCTCCAGGTGCCACTGCTTCCCTTGGGCATAGGAGGAATCTGCAGATTTTTTTTTCCCCTTTTTTTTTTTTTTTCCTTTTTGCAGATTTTTTTTTTCCAGATTTGTGAGAAACACCCCACGCTGTGCCCGGATGGGCTGATTTTAGTTTCTGGGCTAGTGAACGCCCCAGGTGTTGAACCGAGCCGGGTGTTCAATGGTGCCACAGCGTTTGGACTGCGGCTGTGCATTATCCAGAGCTGGAACCTACTGGTATGTGACAATCCCTGCCCTCTGCATGGCTGGAGGAAGGTTGCTGCCTCCGAAGGACTTGCTGGAAATGGTCCTGGGGCTGTGCTAGCATCTCACCAAGGGCTGGGAAGGGTTTGGGATGGGGCTGGTGGATCCCAGTCCTGCTGGGGACAGCAGCCACAGCGTTTGGACTGCGGCTGTGCATTATCCAGAGCTGGAACCTACTGGTATGTGACAATCCCTGCCCTCTGCATGGCTGGAGGAAGGTTGCTGCCTCCGAAGGACTTGCTGGAAATGGTCCTGGGGCTGTGCTAGCATCTCACCAAGGGCTGGGAAGGGTTTGGGATGGGGCTGGTGGATCCCAGTCCTGATGGGGACTGCAGCCCACCCAGGAGCACAAACGCCACTCCGTTACTGCCCTTCTCTGCTGCCCAGCAGCTCCTTCTGGAGCCCAGTGCTGCTGTGACCGACTTCCCGTATATTCCCAGAGGCGGCTGAAGGATTCCACAGCCGAGCGTGGAGCTTGCTTTTCATGCAGCAACTGTGATTTGGCAGCTCCTCGGGTGGTCTGGTGAACATCTGGCTTCCCAAACACCAGCAGTGTCAGTAGATTGGGGGTGGGTGGGAAGGGAGAGATACCTCCCTTTGCTACAGCTACAGGCAAGTGAAGCAGTTAGTCCAAGCCAGTTTTCCAATCCACGCTAGCAGACAGTGGATAGGCAGGTGCAGTCGAGGGTGATTCATCTCGTGCTTGGGAGGTCCAACGTAGGTGGCATGAATCACCTTCCAGCAGCACCTGCCTCCCGCCGGAGCAGTGGCAAGTTCTGAGGAAGGCTGGAATTTGGCTTGAGGATTAGGACGCCCAAACTTCAAGTGTCAACATGTAGGTGTCTCAATGTGCAAGATGTGCCTGTTACTTAACTAAGAAATGGCCGAACGAAGTGGGATGAGTCCCGCCGTTCAAACTCGTCACCTCTTTTCCAGGGCCTTGCACCTCTTTCAAAAAGAAGCATCAAAATAACAAGGAAATCCTGCAGTTCCTTAGCTGAAAAAAATTGCAGACCTTGTGTCAGTAATAGCTGCATGCTCAAGTATGTACTGTAGCAGGCTGTGACATGAGGACAAACAAGAAGCCACCACACGAAGGCCTGGTGCTGCTCACGCCTGCGCTGACTGCAGAGACGTTGCTGCAGGAGAAGACTTGCCTGGCACGGGGAAGGACGAAGAGCAGAGCCCCCAGGGACGCTCTCCGAGCTCAGCCGAGCCCCAACATCGATATCCGTGGCCTGGAGTCACCACACAACATCAAAGTGGAAAGAAACAGGGTTTGCTCGAGTCCTCCCTCCCCGTGCGCTCAGCCAGCAACCAGCTACGTACAACCCAAACCAGCGCCATCCAGGAAAATCAACCTTAACATTTCCTGGTCATGGGAGTCATCACGCAACCAGCTTCCGCAAGCCAGAAAAGCTACCGGGCAGATGCTTAAATAACATGTCATTGGTGTCTCTTTTGACAGGTACCTTTGGAAAGTGCCAAATTTGGGTGCTGGGCAAACCAGAGGAAGGATGAGCATGGCTCACTCCGCTGCCGTCTGTCTGCTCAAGTGGCTTGACCTGCCCACGTTTGCAAAAGAACCAAGTCCTGCTAAGAATTTAAGAACATCGATTGATACTGTTTAATAAATACATAAAAGGATCTAGTCTTTCTTTTTTTTTGTTTTTTTTCTTTCGGTTTCTAGCTTTGATAAAATTTAAGGATGATTGTCCCGTGAGTAACTAAGGCAAATTTAGTTTGCATGTGTTGTTGCTCTCTCCTTTTTTTTTTTCCATTGTTTTGTACATAAAGCAATCACATAAAAATAGTTATAAATAGAAAAATTGCAAAGGTTATTTTTTTCTTTCCCCCATAGACAATTAGGAAAACAAAAACAAAATGAGATGAAAAAAAACACCTTGCTTCAAGTTCTTGTAGATTATACAGTACTCGGCATCTTTGGATACTTTACAATGACTCCAAAATGTAGAGAAAAAACACCTGAAGTAACCAGTCATTTGTAAAAATGTAGTTTGTATAAGAAGTCGATACAGATTTAAAAAAAAAAAAAAGTTTTATGTTTGAAAAAGTTTTCTCTCTTTTTTTTTTTTTTTTCTATTTTTTCTCCACTGGTTTGTTGCGCGCAGCATCTCTGCACAGGTGGGTTATTTTGAGGATGGACGGTGCATTGGGATTGTGCATCTCCACGTGTTCTCCAAGCAGCATGGCCTCAGTGCGCCCCAGCAGTGGGACCCTTGCTTAGCCATGGCCTCCGAGCAGCCCCAGCAATGGGTAAACCTCCTCTCCCCCCCCAAAAAAATTACAGTCCTCTCATTCCCTTTGATTCTGCGCATCCTGCCAACCTGCCTCGACGGAGATGGGATTAGCTCAGGGAGTCTTGTGTTTTAGGGAAAATCTTTAGTAGAAGCCTTTGATACCAAGGCCCCCTGAGACATGACAATGCAGGCGCAAAGCTTTGCATCCTATCAAAATTGCAGTGTTGGTGACATCCAAGTGTGCTATTTTTTGCCACCAAAATATATATATATAGAAAGAATTTTTTGGAAGGTGTATGGGGAAGGAATTAAGGACAAACATCTCAAAGTGGACAGCGGGGCATCAAGCCATGGGAGCTGTTCTGCCTCATTGGTTTGAACAGGCTTTTTCGCATCAAAATGTTATCGTTGCAAAGCAAGGGTTAAAAAAAATAGAAAGAAACATTGCCCCTCCTTCCAGAATCATATTCTTTTTTTTTTCTTTTTTTTTATGTGGCTGCAGTTGAAATGCTCAGAGCAGGATTCGGTTCTTCATCAGATATGTTGAAATGGGACCAAAATAACCCAAACTGCCACCTTATCCTCCCCAGGCTTTGCTCCTGGGTGACATTCAGCCTGTTTTATGTTAGGGTCCCCGCTCTCCCAGGACGGCAGAGCCACCCTGAAAGCTCTTGGAGGCGCCTGAGGAGCTTGGCCCGTGTCCGTGTCCCACCTGTCGCCATCCCCATGCTCCTCAATGGAGCAAAACCTGTTGCCAGATGTGGGAGTGAAAACAAAAATTAGCAGGGCCGCCCTGGAAGCTCTTGGAGGCTCCTGAGGAGCTTGGCCCATGTCCATGTCCCCCCTCACCTTCCCCAGGCTCCTTAGAGGAGCGAAACCTGTTGCCAGATATGGAAGTAAAAACAACAACAACAATAATAATAAAAAGCCACCCCAAGAGTCCTGCTGACCAAAAGGGCTGAGGAATGTAGCATATGGGGAGGAAGCATGGCCGCCTCCTGCCTCACTGTCGTCTTGGAGGCGGCTGCAGACTAAGGTGACAGATATTGGCTGGTGCCTCCTTGAGAAGCTCCATCAGTCGCCTCAGTTTCCCGCCTCAGAGATGGGCGCCACGCACGCCAGCCCTGCGAGGCTGCTGAAGCTGGCACTCCAGGGGTCAGGCAGTGGGAAGAAAGGCTGGCCTGCCAGGTTGTCCTAGCAGCCCAGGGCGAAGGTGAAGAGGCCCGCGTTCCTCTCTGTGTCCAGCTGTGCACACCGCAGCAGCTTCAGCTGCATCTCCTCGAACCGGCTCTCCAGCTCCTGCAGGCCGAAGGCATCCTTGGTGCTGCTGAGGAAGTGCTCGGCGCTGAGGCCGGGCTGGCACATGGGCGTGCCACTGAGGTGGCTGCCCATCTCCTGCAGGGTGGGCAG